TGAATAATAGTTTATAAAATATACTTATCACATGATAGCCTTACTTCTTCATTTAATGCTAAAATGATTGTAACTGGATCAATCAGTTCAGTACCATCAGGTATTCCCCCAACTATTATACTGATAACAGCTGAACCTACCACTGTCATTACTGATGATGAAGAGTTCACTTCTTCCCGAACTGGAAAGAAGTTTGCTTTCTTGTGTAAAGTTGATGCTACATCAATGTTCTCACTGCTTGTGACATTTTTAATATTCTTTGGTAAAATCACCTTTGCAATGGATGTCAAAGAGCTCAAATTGTCAGAAGTAGTAAAATTTAGTTCCTTATCTAGCATTAATAATATTTTTTTATGTATGATTTTGTGTTAGTACAAATATTTACTTAAAGCACTGACTGATATTGTTAATCCACTATAATTAGTTCTTGCAAACTATTTCATAATAATCAATTATGATATGTACCAAATGCAATAGTCTTACTCTTTCTGCTCTAAACAAAATGTTTTCTTCAGCAATTTTAATCACTGTCGAATTTTCCTGTTTAAATAGAACCTGTATGAATTCTTCAAATGACTGAATTATACTAGAGTATGCATTGAAACATAATAAGTCATGTTAACTTGTAACTCACTTATTGGATAAAACATTAGTTACATCCATGGGCCATTCTACTAATAAATTGAGCGTTTGTACAATATACCCTGTTGTCTATACCACATACAATATCATGTATTAATTAATCTACAAACTTACTTCAATTATCAATGGAGCACTTTTACTTTTCAAAAAAACAAATACTATTGCTTCCAATACTGTTGATATTATGTCAATGTTTTCAATGTTTTGGTCAGCAAGAGTACGTGTTGCATTTTCCACTAAACTGCTCATAATGAAAGCTGCTGAGCCAAGATTATCAACTGTAATGTTTACCTGAAACATATAAGGCATTTACAGCCTCAATCATATTATACTATGATATTACATACTTTAGATAATTCAATAAATCCATTTGTAACATCAGTAGTAGCACACATCATCACATCTGGTGATTCCCAATTAGAAGAAGCAGAGCATATTCTACTTGCTGTAGTTCCATTAGGGCCACTAGGACACAATATGGTAACAGTCATTCCAGGTAGTGTTAGTGGCCATTCAAACTGACCACGATCAGTGGTACTAGTCTGTGGATGGCATGCATGTGTGGGAATCAAAGTTGATGTAGGAAGTAGCAATGATATACTTGATGACATTGAGGAAGTGTGAAATGTACTTGGATTGATTATTGGGGAGACAGAACTTCGTTTTATCGGAGTGGAAGATAATGTCATTGAAGTTGACTTGGGTGATGCGAAAGATAAAGATAATAATGAGGAAGATGAAGTATGAAAGGAAGTAGTTGGGTCGATTAATGGTGAGATAACTGATGAATGTGGTATCAGAGGAATAGAAATCAATGAAGGTAACGTTACCATGGATGATGCCAAAGTGATTGGCAAAAATGCATGTGAAGAGGAAACTACTGGAGAGGGTAAACAGCATTCTGAAGAATTTGAGCAATATGGTCCAACTGAGTTACATGATCCAGAACCAGCTAATACTGTAATGCCATTACTACTATCAAACTCAATCTGAGTGCTTGATAATCTTCTTAAAACTTTAGTACATGTAGAAACTGTCAAAGGACTATTAACATCATTTTCAATTGTTACAGAACTAATTGTTGCAAAACAAAAGATACTGCTGTGGTTACAATCAATCCAGTGAAAGAACAAGGTTGTTGGTCTAGAATAATCAACACTAATACTGTATTGTGTATCTACACCTGCTTTAGAAGCTATGAAATATAACACTAAATCATACCAGTAGTTATATTTTACTAACATACTGTTGTAGATCATTAAATAGTTGATGTCTCCTCCAAGTGTTTCTACCCATAGAGTTACAACTGGATCTCCTACAACACAGTCTGCATTTGTACTGAGGTCAAACTTCAAGGCAGCAGTGTCTGAGCTACCACCAGCAAAAAGAAGAGAGAAAAGCAGTAAAAGCAACAGCATTGTTACTGGTTGGAAATACTCCAAGTGCATAGAAAACATCATTAGAGTTTAAATCTAACTAAAAAAGTTCCACCTACCGTTTTTAGTAGTCTGGCCACCCAGTGGGTGGCCAGACTACGTTTTTAGTTCCTCCCGGCTACCGTCCACTAGTCTGGACACCCAGTCTCCCACAGGGGTTGGGTCTGGGTGGCCAGACTAACCGTCCACGTGGTTCATGATGGAGGCTACAAAGCAGAAAACTCACAAAAAGCGACAAGCTGGTACTAAAGCTATAAAAAAGAAGAAAAGGGACAAGAAGGGGAAGGAGAATGAGGAGGCAGAGGATCAAAGAAATTCCAAGGCTTTCACTTATCGTAGCGCCATCAGAGCAGCCAGATCAAAAAGGAGCCTCGGGACACTAGACATAAATGAAAAGAGGAACCGTCTCCCCCAGGTGGACAGGACTCCAATTGAACCACCCCCAGTACTAATAGCTGTAGTAGGACCACCTAAAGTTGGGAAGACGACACTAATCAATGGACTAGTGAAGCACTTCACTCATCACACTGTGTCCAAGAACCAGGGACCAGTCACTCTAGTGTCAGGTAACATATGCCATATGACGAGTTTGTTGTTCTTGAAAAAATAACCATACTGTATGGTACTACATGGGAGGGGGTGTAGTGTGTACTGAGATGTACAAAAATTTCACGCCTACATGTACCTAAATATGCATATAATTACTACAACAAAATGCGAATCATTAATTTTAGTTATTGCTTATATTGATCCTTCTTTTTCCTCCTCTCTCTCTCTCCTCAGGTAAAAAGAGACGGATCACCTTTATTGAGTGCAATAATGACATCAATACAATGATTGACATAGCAAAAGTCGTAGACCTTGTAAGTAATCACAATAATAGTTAATGATCACAGAAGTATTAACGAGCCCAGATGTATTTTGTCTGGTATGTATTGTGTATATAAATATCACCAAAGGAAAAATAGCACTATCTTTATTATCTTGAATTTTTAGTATCTACAACTTTTTGCCTGTTGTACATTATACATTATAGGTATTGCTGCTTGTTGATGCTAGTTTTGGTTTTGAGATGGATACGTTTGAGTTCTTAAATATCCTGCAGACCCACGGGTTCCCTCGTGTGATGGGAGTACTGACAGACATGATGAAGAAGAATAAAAATTTGAGGAGACTCAAAAAGAAACTTAAACAAAGATTTTGGACAGAAATATATCAGGTAAGATACGATGTAGGAGAGAGTGTCAGGTTATAGGAAGAAATATTAACTAACCTTCAATTATTGTACATATACATTTACATTTAGCTTGATTGATTTTGAATTACAAAAAATTGAACAAGCAGATAAAAGTGCCAATGCGTAGTTGAAATAATTATGATAATCTGAACCCAATTTTTATTGCATATTTGATTAGCTAATGTACTGGTAATGTCAGTCTTTATTTATTGATATTAAAGCATTATTTATTTTATTTGTTTAGGGTGCGAAACTTTTCTATCTGTCCAACATTCGTCATGGTCAATACATGAAGAATGAGTTGCATAATCTTGGTCGGTTCATATCAGTCACAAAGTTCAAACCACTAGACTGGCAGTCATCGCATCCTTACCTCATTGCTGACAGGTAGTGTGGTTAATGATTATACATGTACATATACATGTGAATGTATATATACACGTGCATGTACATATACATGTATATTATCTATGGGGTATAATAATAAGGGTGGATATTGCCCCTCCTGTGGTTTTGTTTATTTATAATAACAAACCACTCCAATTCTTAGGAAGTTAGGAGTGGTTTGTTGTGTAAATAAACAAAACTATAGCAGCTGGTTACCAGCGATGGGCTGAATGGGTAGCTATACAAATAAGGTTGAATATGCAAGGTTAATTTATGGTATTTATAAAATGCTGCATCTTACATGTGTATATACTGTATATGAGTTAATAAAAGTTATACATGCATAATGTCATTGTTACATGTACATGTATACTGAATACACTTTTCTTTTTCCTTTTCTACCTTCTTCATTTCATAGGATGGAGGATCTCACATCTCCTGATTCAATTAAAGAGGATCCATTGTGCAACCGAACCATCTCATTGTATGGATATGTGCGTGGAACTAGCATGAAATCCAGCTCCTATGTTCACATACCAGGTATGAGATATTTGGTACCAAGATCTCAGCTTATGTTCATTGGAGTAATATTGTACATGAATGATCATAATATTCTCTGTTCTTTCCTCTTACTTTCTCTATTTTCCCTAATCTCTCCCTCTCTCTCTCTCTCTTTCTCACTCACTCTCTCTCCCACTCTTTCCCTCCCTTCCTCTTCCTCTCTCTCTCCAGGTTGTGGTGATTTCAAAATGGCCAACCTCTCAGTCCTGCCTGACCCCTACTCTCTCCCTGAAAAAGAAAAGAAGAGGTCACTTGATGAGAGAGAGACTCATTTATGCTCCAATGGCTGGCATAGGAGGTGTGGTTTATGACAAGGTAATTAACATCATGTCTATTATTATTATTATTATTATTATTATTATTATTATTATTATTATTATTATTTATTATTATTCTCATTTATAGGATGCAGTGTACATTGAATTAGGTGGGAGTCATTCCATGAGTAAGACCACGCCCACCAGTGAGATCATTCACTTGCTAATAAATACTGATGAGTTATTGGACAGTAAGATAAGATCCAATATCTCACATCTCCCATCAGTAATGCAATTGAATTGTCAGTTAATGAGGAAAATTGTTTTATTAACAAATACTAAACTGTCTATTATATCAAGCTACTGACTATAAAAATGTTTCAGTTTATAGTGAAGCATCTTTTATCTCTTCTTTCTTTATATCATTGAGATCTTGAGTTGCATGATTTGAAATGATGTAAAT